TTCTCTTCTGGCCGCTTGAGAACTTCCTGGACTTTCCAGAGCCGGGTGTGAGTTCTCCGCCATCCCCTCCTCCCTGTCTCGCTCGACCTTCACACTGGGAATCTGGGGCCCGACCTGCAACCCCTCTGGTCCCCAAGGCACCAGCGCCCCCACTCCCTCAGAACCAACTCCAAAGCAAGGGAGAAGGGGACCTAAGATGCCCCAGGTGCTCCTGGACTGAGACTTTGTCCACAACACAGACGACAGCGACCCCTGCTGGCCGCTCCCGTACCGCGCAGGGTCTGTGGGATAGTGGCTCACCCAGGGAGCTGAACCCCAAGGGGAACTAGGAGCCTCTAAACAGCGCAGCAGCCAACAGCCCACATCCTGCCTGGACAGGGTGCCTTTTTCTTAACATATTTTCTGAGATACCTTCGGAGCTCAAGGTCCTTTTTCACGGCCACGTCCTTGAGTTCGCCCAGTAGGTCCAGCACCTGCACGTTTTCTTCTGAATTGCCCATGCTGAGATCTTCCAGGAGCTTCTGAGTGGTCTCCAATTCAGACTGCAGGGCGTCTAGGGCGGGGGAAGCGGTCGTGAGCGATGGACTGCACGGTGCCCAAAGCAACAGACGCACAGATGAGCAGCCGGCTAGATTTTTCTCTCTTCACGGCAGTGCTCTGCTAGAGCTCACAGGCAAGAAGGGTAAGCAGAGGAAGACACTCGTGCACTGGTACTTCTCTGTCCCTTGGCCAGAGATCACGGTGGCCTGAGACAGTGGGACAGGCATGTCCACCAGGTGCTCATTCAAACAGACCTAGAATGCCACTCTGGTGTCCTCGACAGAAACCAGTGCAAGACGCAGGAAAGGCCACGCTGTGCCAGCATCACCCGGGGTCTCCCAGCCAGGCCAGGAGCAACTTTAAAATCCCCTCCTTTGTACTACTGACCCTAGCAGCCCTGCATCCCCTGAGCCAAGGGACACGCGCAGCCCAAGTACGTACGCCACGTGCATTCCGACCACGCACCTCTCCCCCTCGGACACACGTCATATCTAGGCCAGCTGTACGTCAGGATCACGTTCTGGGACCCCGAGGGCCTCGAGAACGGCATCTCCGTCCTGCTGTGGACTGAACTGTGTCCCCAGGTTCCGTCCTGCTCGCAGCTCCCTGCGAGCCTGAGCTCAGCTGGACACGGGTCTCTGCGGACGGGGCTGAGCCAAGCTGAGGTCACTAGGGTGGGCTCTAATCCAGTAACTGGTGTCCTTACAAGGCGAGGGGAGTTGAACAGGTGGAACTCGCCCTCCACGGGCAGCTCGTGGCCGGGTCGCGGCCGTCCAGCGGCCGTGGCCGAGCGTCCTGTCTCGCTCCTGCAAGCCGTTCGCCCACTGCCCTCGAAGGGACTGAGCATCTCTATCTGCAAGCCAGGACGGGATGGGGCTGTGGGAGTCTCTTCGTCGCTCGTCACCAGCCCGGAAGTCGGGGCTTCCGTCGGGGCGCCTCGGCACTGCTCTCTTGCACGGCCCCCAGGATGCGGAGCTCTGGGAACTCTGGCGCAGGGGCAGGGGCGAGCTCTCCCTCTCCGCACGGCCCAGCAGACAGTAGGGTGCCCCAGGCTCCTCACTGTGAACACGGTGCCCCTTCCAAGTGGTTCTGGGCCTGGCCTACGACTGGATCACAGACGGACCCAGGAAGGCTGGGCCTCCTGGCCTTGGACGCACTCCACGTATGAAGCTGTCTTCCCAGGCCAACCTGGCACGGCCCGCCCACCCCTTCCCGTGCTGCCTGCGTCCTGCATCTGGGGTCAGTGACAAGCTACAGTAGTTGACCAGCTTGGAACAAATCCGAGGTTAGGCTGCCCACACTCCCCCCCGCCCACCATAGCAGTAGAAAAGTCCACATATTACAACGTTTTTGTTTTAGAGAGAGGGTTCGTCGCCTTGGCTACCACGTACAATGATGCAATCATAGCTCACTGGTGACTTCAAACTCCTGAGCTCAGTGGTTGCCTCCCTGACTCAGCCTCTCCAAATAGCTAGGACTAGGGGCTGTGCCACCCACCCAGTGCCCAGCTAATTTCCCAGTTTTTTGTAAAATAGACCACCTCCTTGCTCAGGCTGAGTCTTGAAATTGGCCCTCAGTGCAGATCCTTCTCCTTGCTCTCCGCCTCAAAGTCCTCCACAAGCTGCTGCGGCGTGGGAGGCGGCCCACAGCCAGAACGATCAACCACCCGGTCCGCTCAGAAGCCCGGTCCGCACGTTTGGCTGACAACCGACCTGGGCGTCAAGCGCCTCCCTCCAGCTCCCCGCTTCTGTCTGACAGAGGAGAAGTCTGCGCCGCAGCTCGTGGGTCTTTCTCTGGCAGCTCCTCCTCTCTCTTTGCACAGTTTTATAGTGTTTTTCCGGCCTCTCTTCGAACCGAGCAAGACCCTTCTCCATCTGTTAAACAGAAACGAAAGCTCAGGCTGGAGGGGACTCCCTCCCCGGGTCATCGAGGCCCCCTGGCACCACGGCACACGCGACAAGACTGCTCTCACCTTGACCGCCAGCAGAGTCAGCAGCAGCGTCTGCGACTCCATCATCTCCATCTCTTCGGACCGGGTCTTGAGAGGAGGAAAAACACCCCTTTCGGTTTT